TACATTACTAGATTGGAGACGATGTAGACAGGTGAAGTCATGCTGAGTGTGTACACGATTCAATACGGCTGCAGTTCTACAAACCCCGGTAAGGCGGTAATTAAAGTAGTGAACAAAACAAACGGAGAATTTACCTCAGGCGGTAACCTATTAGTGAATCCACGCGTTTGGAACCGGGAAAGATGTAATTGTTTTTTTTTTCATTTCTGCACATTTAAAATTTCTATTTCTGTATAAGTAATACCCTTTACGCTTTTTGTGTATTTCTTGTGTAAGCTCCCTGTAGTTAGTTTTGTAAGTGGAATTATTATTTCATAGTTCTTTATTTTTCCGTTAAAGGCCGTGCAGATGTACTTTCCGTGGTTAAAATTTCTCTTTCTTTGTATTTTTAACTGCGTGCACCTCAAGGATGCTATCGTGCACCCTTTTTGTACTGAACAACATATTCGATCATAACCTCCAGTGGGAGCCAGACCACGTTCTAGGTGGGGCTCAGCTCCCCCTCTATCCACCCCCTAGCTACGGGCCTGAGTCGCCTGGTATGCAAGGAATGAAACCATCGACAAAGACGTCAAGCTTAAAACCGCCGCGCTGCCGAATCATTTTAAGAGATTCCGCATCTATGAAAATGAGTACACCTGCTCAGAAGGGAAGGACGACAACTGAAAAGGACCAAGCCTCAGATATGATCCCTCACTGAACGTTTACAAATAAACCCATAAAGAGCGTTTAAAAAAGCGGCAGAGCACCTCGGCGTGACCCCACGGAGTCATTGGATTTGACCCATTTTCAGTAGGCTTATTACATGTGGCATATACAGCACATACAGCTTCAAGAATACAAAAGGTGCAAAACTCATGTTTACGGTTTATATACGGAATCAGACGCAGTGAACATGTTTCTCCTAAAATTAAGGAAGCTGGTTGGCTTAATATGTCAAAGCGGAGGACATTGCACTCATCAGTTCTTTATCATAAAGTCATCACTACTGCGACGCCACCTTACCTGGCTGAACGATTACAGTTCCGTACTAGTGTACATAGTTTAAACTTACGTCATAGGGGCCTGTTGACGGTCCCTATACACAAAACAGCTTATTTCCGCAGATCTTTTTCGCATAATGCTTGTAAAGTTTATAATTCGCTACCACTGTCCATTAAAACTCTTTCGGTTCATGGCTTCAAAGTGCAAGTAAGATTACTACTGCAGCTGGGTAAGCTACAATAAAGTGCGAGAGAGTAGATGAAACCTTTGAGGTTGGAAATAATTTAGTGTTGTTAGTGATCGTGCATTTATTTATTTTAGATTAATAATTTTTTAATTTATTAATACGTTGGATTGGGGCTGTATGGAAGAACAGGGTCTCTCGGCACTGAATGCAGTCCCTTTCCCTGTTTTTATTTGTGTTATTTGTAGAGTTTTGATTTGTTTTATGGGGAATAAATTATATATTATTATTATTATTATTATATAGATCAATTGTGCAAAGTTTGAACCAAATCGGTCCATGCGTTTGACAGTTATCGTGTTCACGGACAGACGGACACCATCGACTCCCTTTAAAACTTGCATCGCTTTGCTATGCCGCTTAATAATGACATTTAAAATGAAACATACCCGTATCTAGATTGCTATGCGTCAAATTATTGGATACGATAATTTTTCCTTCTTGATTGTAGTTTCAGAAAAAGTGTGTAAAACTTGAGAAGAAAGTGTTTTTCAACTCTTGTTCAATTGAATTCAAGTTGAAAAACTCCATTTTCTTTTCTAGTGAATCATAAAATATTAATGATCAATTGATAACAGACCAATTGTGCAGAAAAACGCAGTGTTTGACACACTTTGGAAGGGCTAGAAACCAAAATCTCCGCGTCAATAAATATGGGGAAGGTTTGGTTGATGAAGGAGGGCGATGGACTTCTTTGGTACTACAGTATTTGAAGAATAGCGTACTATTGGGCGAACAATGACGTAATCTCTTGTCCCCGGCGGCAATTTTGATCACTAATTCTCCGACACCTTGAATATCAAAATCTGTTATTGTATTTCTATCGCTACACAAGAATTCCATTTATTACACCACGTGCTTGCTTTATTCTTTTGTGACGCAAACAATAACAAGCCGTGATTGTTTTAGATACAAACAAAAATTATGTATATAAAAGAAGGTACTTAACTTATTGAAGGTACTCTTGAAAATGAAGTTTTGTCTGTTAATTTTCGCAGCATTCATAATATACTCTTACACGGTAAGTCACAATATACGTTAAAAAATTAGCATATATGAAGTTATGATTTTTAGATTTGCGTTTCATCCATTTGTATTAGGAAACCTCGTCACGATCATGGTTCCAAATGCTGGGATAATGACGATGACTACCATGGCTCTTGGCATAAACATGACGGATGTCGGGATAACTGGTGGAGACCCAAACGACACCATGAAAGAGAGTCGTATAAACATTGGGACAACGAACGTCATGGACATTGGAATAATTGGGGACGCAAAGATTGCTCTTGTTGGTAATCTAATACGTTTAAGGGTTGACAGTTGAAATGTTCAAGAATAAAATAGAGAACAACTCGTTCGTACAAAGCAGTGCATTCTTGATTTCCTAAGAACCGTTTAGATCTACACAATTTTGCCATGAAAAACAGAAATGAGAAAATCAATATTTCACGTTAGTTCAACGGAATATCAATATATTCACAAAGATAACCCCTTGTGAGTTCGTTACTTGGGTGAATAGGAAGCAAAAAAAAACTTCGGTGGACATTCCCCACCGCCCACGTATTCTAAGTATGACGCCATTCAGAATGGTCGCCATTCAATTCTAAATTAAATTACCTTGCAGCACGGCTTGGTGTAAAACTAGAGCATCAATGATCAAGAGTAAACGATGGCACTTCTATGGATAACAATAATCATCATCAGTTAAATCAGATTCGGATGCGATGGGAGACGTCTGGCATTCACTATAAAGAAAAATCCTAATGTTGACTTTAAAATTTATTAATTTGAAAGATACAGTGGCTTCGATCAACTCTCGACGATTCCAAACCATTAACTAAACAATTTTAATTAACATCTGACATAATTCTTGGGCACGAATAGAAAAACAACTGACACGAAAACTCTATGTGGGTCGCACTTTGGGTTCGATTGAACACACAGTTAATGAATTGACAAAAACAAAAATTTATTCCATTAAAGGCAAGAAAAGAAAGAAATCTTGGAAGAAAGGCACTGAGAGCCTGTTTTTACACATACCACGCACGCAGACGTTCGACAAACAATTAAATAACGAAATCTTAATTACTTAGATTTTTTCAATAGCCTAATAAATCTGGTCGTAAAAATTTTGCGACATTCAGGCGAACTTAGAACTGACACGAACACATGTTAATAGCTTTTTGAACTTCACTTCTTTTTTTGTTAAACTGGATCTCGATGTAAAAAACTGACTTGTTGAATTAGATGATAAAATTTGATAGCTTTTCGGACAGTAGAAAATTTTTACTTTTGATGAATGACAAACCTTTTCGATGAAGGGCTTCGATATACCACAACTGCTTGGTTTTCTCAACCTCCAACTATACTACCTTTTCCGTTAACATTTCACGAACGACATTATAACATAAATCTCTCAGTACGATTACTTAACTTCGTCTACACAACTTTATTATAATCACGATGAATTACGTCTCCACCTATGCAAATAAGGCGGTCCAAAACCGCGTAACAAAAATCACGCACTCCAACAATAAAACTTCTTATCGCAAATGACCAGATGTAACCTTTTATCAATCACACGAAATTCGACCAGATTTGTTCTAAAACCTTATCTAAATTGCGAATAATTTATAAAAACGATCAAATTAAAAAACCAAAAAATTACGAACCTACATAAATTTCTAAAAGGAAAAATAAAAACTCAAATATAAATTCATACGAAATAATCACACATTGTGCTTATTCGTAAAAAAAAACCTATCAGATTTACTTTAAAGATTGCAACTTTTTATGTACAGGGTGGCTCAACCTCATTGAAAGCAAATTGCAAAAGCTAATCAATCTCCAACGATAAAATAGCAGGTTTAAAAAATAAAGAAGCATGGAAAACCAAAACTTGAGCAATTTCACACGAGAGGGCGACAAGGGTATCAAAAGCTGATATTGCGGTGAAGAAATGTCACCATAAAGTGGATAAAGGACTCATTTTTTCTATGAAATATGATATGGAGACGTTTGCAAAATTTCTAGAAACATTTCCTTTGCTATATAAGCAATTTGAATTGTTTAGTTTTGGTTTGGTGATATATAATGAAATCTGCATTCGTGGTCTTAAGTGTTCTAATGTGATTGCAAATTAATTGATAATATGAATTAAACGGTTATAAACCAATCTAAAGGACCTTTTTATATTAAGTTTATCGTCATAATTTTGATAAATCTCCTATTAGAATTACGTTACAGTTTGTTACTTATAACTGCCATTCACTTTAACTTTATTATGTTCAACTTCATTTGATCCAATGGAGTTTGAAAACTCGACCACTTGAATTTCAAGTCGATCCAGTTTGAAAGTAATTCGGTCAAGTAAAAAAGTAATTTGACGCTTCCGATTTGGCTTAGTGGGTTGTCGATGGCTCAACAGTTAAACAACAATTAGCTCCAAATAACCTTCTATCGAAGTATACAGTGTGTTTCGAAGACAATTTAAAATATTATGTCAAGGATTGGTGGGTTAATAAATAACAACACAGAATCAATTTATAGTTCGTCTTTAATCAGTGATTAAACATAAATAAACTTGATATACGCAATAATAACATCTTTATTTAATAATTACAAGTGACAAGAATAGTAAAACTGTGTTTAAACATGCACGATATAAAGCTATATATACAAAAAGTTGATAAATACATTTACAACATATACAGCGCAATTTTATTTGCATAATTTCTTAGTGTTTAAAAATGGTTTTTTAATTGATAAGTGTAAATTGTACTAACATTTGCAACATTTATATACAGTGTTTGAGTGAATTAGTTTAATAATTACTATCTAGACTTAAAAACTCATTCACATTTAGTTTAAAAATCTTAAATCTCTTTGGTCATTTTGAATAAAACGTTTAATGTAACGGAATATGTAAATTAAAAACTCTGGCAGCGTTTCATAAATTAATTAATATTTAGATTTCTGTACGGTATCTTAATAGCTATTTGTGTATCATAGCTGTAAAATCACACGTTTAACAGAATATAGCCTGACAGTTCAGAGCTTTCGGGACGCTGCAGGGGTTGAAATAGGGTGGGCGTGTAGACACAGAGTGCTGAAACCGGAAACCAAGCTCTCTGAGTGTCAGGAAAGACTTCCAATTTCGCTGCCGAGGGAATATGGGGTTACACATTGTTCAGCATTAACGGGAGCTTTGCAATAATTTCGTTATTAATATCATTAATATTAGCGGAAATCTTGGTGGTTCAGTGCTGAAAGGTTTTTCTTTCTAATTGCCCGAAGGGAAAAATCTTTCATTTTCGTTATTCTATTTCAATCTCTAGTTTCGAGCGGCTCTGGTTAAAAATCAAGTCGCTCAATCAGGAAACCTACTTGGTATTCCAAACACGCTGCTGCTCTGTTGTAAATAAAGATATGGCTTCGCGAGAGTTCTCTCGCCTTCGGGTGATATTATATCAAACAGTACTATAACACTCAGTTGTCACTTAATTCAATTACCGAAGTTCTTTATTGACACTTTTTGGTGCGTATCCGACTGTTTGCGTAGGAGGAGCGTCTTGGGCCTAATATGTAAGACGCGTTTACGTAAAAATATTGCGTAATCTCAACAGGTTTACGACCCAACTAAAGATGCGCGCTCTTTGAAATACTAATCGAAAATTTGTACAGTATGACTAGAGCATGGGAGCTTTACAAGGTAACAACTTAACGTGCACGCGCTCTTTTATATATTCTCTCGTGAGACAATCAAGATCCTCAAAAATAAAATCCTCTCCGTTGTAAAACGTTGCCAGAGCTTTTCTTGATATGTACGTGTGTTGAGATGTGAACCTTTTAATTTATAATGCCTTCCCTAAGATGCTCCGGAATGATATAAAAATGGAATTGTGATAAAGGGGTGGTTACATTAAAAAAGCGGAATACTTTTAAATTGCACTAAATCCGAGATTGCACATGTAACATATTTTAAACTATTCGTAACATTCAGTACAAGTTGAGATATAAGTCGATAGCACCATATCTAATATGATGGCTAATTCGATCACAGTTCGGTGTACACCATAAAAATATTTCTTCCTTACAGCTAAGTTTTACTCTTTGGTTGAGTTTATTTGGAAATATTGACTAAATTTTAAACTAGCAGGTAGGTAACAACAGTTGCAAGAGGAATGGGCCAACGAAACCTTACGGATTTAACTCCAGTTTGTGTTGTGGTACACGGCGCGGGATGGTATTTGCAAAGGTGTCATGGTGGGCTGATGACCCATAGTTAGAGTTTGGGTATTTGGAGAGTTCCCTAAGTGTTGGAGGGACTGTGCAAGTTCGCTGATAGGTGCGCTCGTTACTTGCACGTCGTTGTTCACGTTTTGACTATGGCCTGTCGACGATGGGGAAGCGCAAATTCCATTAGTAGCAAATGGAAGGGTCACACTTCCATTTTCTTGACACTATGTGACTATCGATCGTATTTCTGTATGTTGCGTTTCCTTGTGCCGTCGGAGGTCGACTTTTCTTTGGAAGGCGCGTCCACATAGATCGCATGCGAACGGTTTAAAACCCGTGTGTTTTCTTGAGTGCGTGATTAGATTGGAGGACTGACTGAAAGCTTTCCCACATACTTGGCACTTGTGAGGTTTTTCACCTGAAATGAAAGAGAAATCATTAAATGGTGAAGTTATTAATTCTACAATTTATGTTTGTATATTTCTCTCATATTATATACACATATTATGGGTGGTACAGTGGAGTATGGAATGTCCAATATAATATTGTAATGGGTGTAATAACACTGTCTGTAGTCGAATGCTTCTACTTTGGGGAAAAAATGCGCCAATCTCCTAATAGATATGTGAACAAATATTTAAATAATTTTATCCGATTATGTTAAATGATTCAATTTATTCTCATTCGGCAGATTTGTCGCGAGCAGGTAGAGAGTGTAACTTGTAACAAGACCTTTGTATAGGTACTCAGAAAATGTTATAGCGTGGTCAAAATGCATAATCTAAATATAAACTTTGTGTGTTCTACGTATTGCAAGGAACTTAATAATTTCATTTATTCATTTCAATTTCTTTTATTTAACCGTAAGGAGGTTAAAAGGGAATTAGCAATAGCAACTCATTTTTGATCGCCCGTTATTGCTTTACGTGTGTATATTGGGGATGAGTTAAATGAAGCGGGTCATTGTAATTAAAATAAAAGCGGAAAGTGCGAGTTAAATGCGTCTACGGGGTGTCAATTTTAAAACTTGCAGTCGGCCATCTAAAGAAGGTATTGAAAATCGCGCAAAACCGTATGGGGTGTCTCGAGGGGGAACCAGAATGACGTTATAAGTGAGAACCCCCCACTCACCCTTAACCCCCCAGCCCCCCTCCTTCTTCAAAAATCCTAAATGGCAATCCCATACTTGTGATACATCGTTGGAAAGCTACTGAAAAATGCTTTCCAGTGGTACCAATAAAGTCAATGTTCATTAAGACAATTTAACAAAGATTTAATAATTAACAAAAAAAACTAAATGTTGGCATTGAGGGATTTATGGCAAATTGGCCAAGAACTTCAACCTAAGCTGCTTCATTAAGCAATCTTGGTTGCTTTCTTTTTTTATTGATAACAGATCCCATTTCTTCGAATGTAGCGACCAAATCTTGAACATAGGCACGGTTTAATTTTTTTTTGTTAATTATTAAAATTTTGTTAAATTGTCTTAATGAAAATTGACTTTATTGGTACCACTGGAAAGCATTTTTCAGTAGCTTTCCAACGATGTGTCATAAGTATCGGGTTGCCATTTAGGATTTTTGAAGAGGGGGGCTGGGGGGTTAAGGAACGAAACGGTTTTGCGCGATTTTCAATATCTTCTTTAGTTCGGAAAATATGGCCGACTGCAAGTTTTAAAATTGACACTCGGTATAGCGTCTGAATGTTGAATGACGGAAGCGTTATCAGAACCGCGAAGTAGGTTTTACATCATTCTTATAAGTAAGAGAGAAAGCGTTTATTGTGTCAAATTGTACAAAACCTATAATAAATATGAGTGTAAACAGTGGGAAATCACCATACGTAAAACGGCGTTACGCAGTACCAAATCTGCGTCCGGTCGTTTTCGCAGAGCGCGTTTTGCATTTTTTTAAGTCCATTGGGTGGATCCCGACGAAAAAAATTGCGCCGAGAGCGAGCAATCGCCTACATCAAGCGACCTACGCGCTGCGGAAGAAGATTTTCGCCATTTTTCCAAGAAAAACGAAAGAGCTTTGAACATTTTCCCCTAAGCCACGCCTCTAAGATTCTAAAGTCGGTCCGTGCAGATCACAGCTGGAGGGTCAATTTTATTCGGATTGTTAGCCGTGACCAGAACGCATTTAACACTCCTGGTGCACAAACAATCAAGTTATTTATGAACACTGCTCTCTCGCGTTGTAGTGTTGCCATTCGTTGTGATTTACCTCGTTGTATATTTGAACTAGCGTCATAGTGTATTTTTATTGTATTTATTAAAATACAATTAATTATTTTAGCACTTGACGGATATTCGTTATACAGTTAGTTTCCTTCATTTATAAATAAAGTTGAATAGTTCCTTGTGTTGTTGCGAATGATTGTTGTGTCCGCATTTACCTTACAGGATTGTTTCAACTCAAGCTCATTTACTATGTTATTCTATTGCAGTAAAGAGACGCTCTAAAGAAAATAATAAATTAAACAAATATAGCAAACGAGCTCCTAGGTATGGCTATAGCATGTGCAAAACCAAATTTTAAACCTGATGTTAGTTTTGCTTTTATTTAAAGTGTATATGTATGAAATTTCATTTGAATGCCTCCATAAATAAGAAAGTTGGCACTGCGCATGCGCAAAACCAAATTTTGAAACTGGCGTTAAATTTGCTATGTATCAAATTTCATTTAAATCTCTATACAGGGTGACAATTTGAAAACTTACCACCCCCCATATCTTAGTAAATAAACAAGATATTTAAGAAAATCAAAATCCGTTTCGGTAATTCGGAGGGGGAATCACAATTACATAGTTGGCGACGCACCCCCTCACACCTCCTGCGCCCCAGCCACCCCAACTTTTAAATCTTAAATAGTGACCCCCCATGTGTGATACGTCGTTGGAAAGCTCTGAAAAAATGCTTTCCAACCATACCATAAGAGCATTACATTTAGGTTAGTAATTATCGTGCAAATAAAAAAATAAACTAATATGATACATTTTCTAAAGTTGGCTTTTATTTCAATAAATGTTCAAAATGGTTTCCGTTCTTGACAGTATTACTATGCGATTAAAAATGAGTTACTGTCGAGTCGCCTTCTGAAATTTTTGTTTACATCTAAAATCGTATTTAACTTGAACTTCCAAAGCCGACTCGACAGCAACTCATTTTTGATCGTCAGTTATAATCTATTCTCAAACTCTTGTCGAACCTTTTCAAATGTTGGTTTTGCAATATTTCGACATTCTTGAATTATTCTCTGTCTTAGTTCGTCTATGTTCGCCGATTGCGTTTTAAATACGACAGATTTCAAATGTATCATATTAGTTTATTTTTTGATTTGCACGATAATTACTAACCTAAATGTAATGCTATTGTTGGAAAGCATTTTTTCAGAGCTTTCCAACGACGTATCACACATGGGGGGTCACTATTTAAGATTTAAAAGTTGTGGTGGCTGGGGCGCAGGGGGTTGGAGGGGGTGCGTCGCCGCAACTATGTCATTGTGATTCCCCCTCCGAATTACCGAAACGGATTTTGATTTTTTTAAATATCTCGTTTATTTACTAAGATATGGGGGGTGGTAAGTTTTCAAATTGTCACCCTGTATATAAAAATGAACCCCTGTTTTTTCTGGTCACGCAATAACTTTAGAACGACTTTACCGATTTCATTCATCTTTTTTTTCTGCTACTGTGTAGAAGGTTCTTACGACAAGAAAAACTAAGAAAATCGCGCAGAAAATTGGAAAATTGGAGAAAACTTAACGATTATTTAAACATCGCGCGTTTGACGGTGCGGCAGCAATTGTTTTAACAGCTACATCGATCGGCATATATCCGTCAAAAAATTAATTTGTGTGCTGTCAATTCGATCGGAAAGTTTATCCAGATTTCAGTGAGTTTTTTGAGAAATGTCGATGTTATTTCACCGCAATCACGCCTTTTATATTAAAAGTTTGATATACCTAATATCCATTTTTGGTAAGTGTTGATAGACTAAACACGTGGTATACATAGTTATACAGAAACACTAGGGAGTTAATTTCTATTTTCAGTTGAATTTTAGTTTTTTCAAGATGCTACTAATTAGACGTACCAACCTTTGATTATTAATCAAAGGTACCAACTTAGGTCGCAGAATTCGTAATCCTACAAGTCAAACATACTGGGTGGTGCACGGTAAGTAGGAATAGGGATTTAACATGGGAAATTAGTTTTATGCAATATTCTGCCCTCCTGTACATTTTACAGAAAAAAACTGTAGAGTTTAAAGTTGTTCAGAATTAAAAGGTGCATACAACACTGTTTTTACATGTTTTATATTAAGCTTTTGGTATACCCGCAAATTTAAAAATAAATGTCAACATTTCTGTTATTAGTAGCAATAGCCATGACTTTTGTTGTTTTGTGAATTGCTATACTAATAACAGAAATGTTGAAATTTATTTTTAAATTTGCGGGTATACCAAAAGCTTAATATAAAACATGTAAAAACACCTTTTAATTCTGAACAACTTTAAACTCTACAGATTTTTCTGTAAAATGTACAGGGCAGGAAATAGCATAAAACTAATTTCCCATGTTAAATTTAAATCCCTATTCCTACTTACCGTGCACCACCCGGTATATACGAGCAAGTCAAACTGACAAGCAAAGCGAAGCGCGAAACAGTAAATCGTTGCTATTAGACCAATGAACTTTGTGTGTCCACACTGCAATGCAAGGCTTAAGCCCTGGAATTATGTTGCGCCAGTTGGCCAAGCGAAATTGACGTCATTGGTACCGCCACCCCACCAGAGCCACTACATTCCTTGGTTTCCGGAAATGGGCCAGATTCTATACATTTTTTACTCATATCCAGAAATAAAACAATTGTTTTCAAATTACGGCATTTGGCGCAACAAAAAAAGGTACGTTGCTAGCTCTGAATCGCCAAAAGCAACGTAGAAGTGAGTGCGTTTATTTTTTATTATTTTGGGGAGGGATGGGGAGATTTTGGGACAAGTGTGTCAAAATCTCTTTTCCGGCTAAACGGTTGAACCGATTGGAACCAAATTTGCTACACATATTCTTTGACATAAAAGGGCAGACTCGCGCATGCGCAGGTGAGGCGGGTGGTACCTGCTCTAGGCACAGCGAATTTCTCGAAATAATTTTTTGTTATTATTTATTCCAGTTCAAATTGATTAGGTATGCATAGCTAGGAAAGAGGACAACGTCCGTCGGGTCAGCTAGTACCTTCATAAATAAGAAAGTTTGCAATTCGGTCTGTAAATGGTCGAGATGCGCAAAGGGCACCGGGAATGCTGATCGATTAGACTCAACTTTTGGAATTGTGTTTTATATGGCTAAAGCTATGCGCGCGCATATTGAATTTCATGCAATTCGGTTCATAACTAACGGAGATGTCAAAAGGGC